CAGGTGTGTTAGAGAATCTCCATTTTTTTTAGCAAAAAGCATAAATAAATTTGTAATTATACATTTGTAATTTTGAAAGGAAGCAAAGCACGACGTTCTAGCCCCGTTTGGTTATGTTTTTAAAATATTTAATTTTTGATACAAAAATGAAAATAATATTGTTTTGAAAATCATTCTGAAACTGATTCTTAAATTATGTTTAGTGGTCTTTCAATAAATTAGCTTGATATGATAAAAAAAGAAATCGTGTTTGGTTACATTTATGTTTGTTTTGAGTATATGTAATTAATAATCTTAAATTAATATATTAAGTAATTAATAATTGATAATTATTTAGCAAATAAAAACTATATATTATTAATATAATAATAATGGATAAATTATCATTAATGAGTACATTAGTAATTAACTATATATAATAAATTAATATGCTAAATAATTAAAAAATAGTAATTAGTAATTAATTACAAGTAATTATTATGTTAGTAATGTGCTCATATTTATTAAATTATAAGTAATTAATTAGTGTATTAAGAAAAATAATTAGTATATACATAATTTATTAATATTCCGATTACTACTTAAATTATTAAGTTTTAGTTATATAATTAAATAATTAGTTAATTAATTACTAATGTTTATTTAATAATCTATTATTTGATATATCCCATGATCAATTTGTAGTAATTATTCTTTTTATAATGATTAATTACTAATTTTTAGTTATTAATTATTATTGATTAGTATATTACATATTGATAATTATAATTTAATATTAATTATTAATTGAGTAATCACTATTTATGTAATGACTAGAAAATTTTTGATATTAATTAGTCTAATTTACGTAATTAAATCACATATTTCCTGGATAATGACATATTTTGTAAGGAAGGATTTATGGAGTTAATAATATTATTCAAAAATTCTATACATAAAATTTTATGTCGAAAATTTTATGTTATGACTTGGTCGATAATCCTCACCGCGAATTAAGACGGGAGAAATTTTTCGATTCAATTATGGCTTGTAATTTTGTTCATAAGAATTTCCGAGTATTGTACAATGTTAGCATTGCTCTGAGAAGCACTCTAACATTTAAAAAAAATCCTTAATTGCCAATTAGTAAAAATTGGAGTTACGTAAGTCGCGTTTTTGATAAAAACCATAAAGCCAGGCTAAAAAATTGACATTGTTGGTTACCATGTTTTATTGAGAGTTTAAGACACGTATGTTGAACTCATATTTTAAGTTATTTTAAGACATCTTTTAAAAGTCAAAAAATAGCTAAAATAATTTACGCGATTTTAAATCTAAACCGGTATTAATTTCTATATAATATAGTGTATGACTGTGTTTTATGAACTGAAAACCACTGAAAAACATTTGCATTGAAAATTGCTCTAGAAATCACTGTTAGTATAAGCTTGATATGATGAAAGAGGACTTTAGTGGGAGACAATGATGATACATGATTTAACCTTGATTTGACAAGAGTTAAAAAGCCTTTTGAGGTGTCATATTTTTTCCTTTTCTCCTTCCAAGTGGCGCTTATCTTAGTGGAAGTTAAGCCAAAGTTTAGTTTAACTAAATTAGATTAAAATGATTAGGATAAAGACTAATCAAGATTAGTCTAAGTCTATATAAATGATCACTTAAGTGCATTAAATCTTTCTCAACTTTTTCTCTCTTTTCTTGTGTTGGCCGAACCTCCTCCCTCTCACCATCTCTCTCAAAATATTTCTCTTTTCCATATCTAATCCCACCAGCCGAAAATATCAAAAAGAAAAGGAGAGAAGAAGCATTTGGTAGAGTTTTTACAAGTTATCTTCAAGAGGTAATCTCTTGGTTTCTCTTTTTTTTTTTTAAAGAATGTTTAAGTTTAGATTTTTCTAGAGTATTAAGTTTAAATATTTGTATTATAAGACCTTCTCATTTTGGTGGTCAAAACCCTTCCTCTCCTAAGCCTTGTGATAAGACTATTCAAAACTTATCTTGATCTCTTAACTTTAAGAACAAAGTTTGGATTGTCTACAAAGTTGTGTTTTATGTGTGTTAAAAGGTTAGATTTTCACATGCATGAGGTTTTTAATGCTAGATCTATATTTTAAAATTGTATTTCACATTTTAAGGTTGTTGTTTTGTGTGTTTGGAACAAGTTCTAAACTTTTAATGGTAACCTTAAGAGGATAAAGATGAAAAAAATTTAAGTTGGTAGGCTTTATTTTCGGGTAAAAACTTTTAGTCTACCCTGACTTAAAATTCTGAGTTGCTAAATTTCAAATTGAGAAAAATGCTATTTCACAAAAGTTGTAGATCTTGATGTGCTGAACATTTCCTTACGATTGAGAAATATATTAATTCTGCCCCTAAAATGTGTTTTTAGACGTTTTTCTAAAACTGCCAAGAATTTCATCAAAATTGTCTAAAACTATCAACTTGAACTATTTTCTGTCTTGCTGTTTTTAGACCCTTTATAGGGCAATTTCAGAATTTTTGAGTCACATGTTTTAAGGTTTTCGACGTTACAAACAAATATCTGTGACAGTGAAAAATCACAATTTTGACTGTAGGACGCGTTTTCGGGACATTTTTAAAAACTGCGCGAAATAATATTTGTGCTCCGTTATTTTAAGATTTCGGCCACGTTCCGAGGCCGAACCTCATTTTTCATGAAACACGAAACTTTTAGATCATATTAAGACGAAATAATAAGTTTTTAAAGTGTTTCAAACTTATGGTTATCTTCTACAAGAAAATAATCACTAAGTGCTTACCGGGCCTAATTCCTAGTATCTGACGATATTACTAGTGGTAAAATGGGATTTACTAATGACTTCAAAATAAGATTAGATTGAGAATTTTTAACACTAAGTACGGGCCCAACACCTGTACTAGGCTCACAACTTTTCATGCCTAAGTTAGGCACGTTAGTGTAAAAGACAGTTGTAGACATGTTGGAGACTAATGAGCCTTAATATAATTTTGGGCAATCTAAGAAATAATGTGAAATAGGAACTTAGACAAAAATCATGGTAAATAATTGATTTAAGTTAAGACTGATTAGCAAAGGCAAATAAGGAAAATTATATGATAAAGATTTATTAAAACAATCATTGTAATGTAAAAGAAGTTAAATGATCCCTATTTAAAATGGGAATATTTATGAGTATAGGAATGAATTCCTAAATAGACTAAGGGCCCGTTTAGTTCGCTGATTCAAATTTTTAATTCGAGTTGAGATGTGATTTTATGTGATAGGTTTTTACTGTAGTAAAAATGTTAGATATGACTGTTTCTGAGAGCTTTTTACTGTAACAAAACTCAAATTCTAAACTCGAATCAGTGAAATGAACGGGGCCTAAGCTAATAGACTAGCTTAGAATGAGTTAAACTCACACTCTCAGTGGGTTTTCTTTACAGAACATAGCAGTAGAGGTTAACCTTGGTGAGTAATATAATATAGTCCCAACCTTGACTGATAGCAGGTAAGTGAGAATCTCACCTACAGTATGAATAAGTTTTAAAGTGAAATACTATACATGTCTTATATACATGTTTATGCTCTATGATATAGAATGTCATGTCATATCATGTAACATACTCACTAATGAAATTAATGAGAAAAGATTAAAGTAGAGTGTCGTACCAACCTTCTGAGATTGGGGGCTTATGTTCAAGAAAAAAAAATGATGAAATGAATTATGGTTTCGGTGTAGTTGGGGACCTTGCAAACCCTCTCTACCCGTTGATCGCGCGCAATCGGTACGAACACTCGGACCCATACAAGAGCATAATTGGTACATGCATTACTGTTATGCTTTAAGTACTCTATTTTTAATTAACGAGACTTAAATTCCTACCTACTGAGTATAAACTCACCTCTAGGATGTATTCATACTGTAGGAAATCAACTTGTGAAAGGTGAATGATAGACTGTGCGCAACGGCAGACGAGTAGTGTGGAGAATGGAAAATGGATATCGCTCGCATTTTAATTCCGCAATATGTTTTATTATGACAAGACCTTTTTAATTATATGTATGTAGTATGATTTTAAGAAAACCAAGACTTCACTTATAATTTAAAAGTTAATGTATGATCTTTTGAAAAAAAAATTCTGCAAATTTCACTTTAATTATTTAAAGTATTTTAAACGAATTCCTGATAGTAAATTTAAGAGACGGCTTCTTAGATTAGATCATCACAAGTTATTTGTTATTTGCCAACTATTTATTAATTAATATATTATAATTAACATAATATATAATTTATATATTTATTAAATTAAATATTAATTAATAATTAAATAATTACTATTTATTTATTTGTTATTAAGTATATCTATTTATTAATTAATATATAATACAATTAGTAATTAATAATTAATTATTTAATATAACATTATTAATAAGTACTAAAAAATGAAAACGAAAAATGAAAAATAACTTTTAATCGTTTTCTATTTTTTTACAAAAATTATTCTCATTATTTTTTATTTTCATTTCTATTTTTAAAAATTTTATTAAACAAACGTGATTTATAGACCGTTTTCGTTTTCATACTTTAAGGCCTCGTTCACTTTGCGGATTCGAGTTTTTAATTTGAGCTGAGATGTGACATTTTTTGAGAGTTTTTTTACTATAACAGAAAAAGTTATATGTGATATTTTTTGAGAACTTTTTACTATAAAAATTTAAAACTGAAAACTCAAATTGGTAAAATGAATGAAGCTTAGAAGACTTGTGAAAACGTTCCGTTCACTTCGCTGATTCGAGTTTATAATTCGAGTTGAGATGTGATTTTGTGTGAGAGCTTTTTACTGTAACAAAAAAGTTAAATGTGACTGCAAAACTCAAATTCTAAACTCGAATCGGCGAAATGAACGAGGCCAAAAAAACAATTCCAAACGCATTCTTGCATTTTTCTTTTCTTTATCTTAAAATCTTAAAAAAAAAAAGAGAGAGAGAGAGAGAGAGAAAAGCCTTCTTTCGCTGACGTGTCCCAAAAGTGTTGCTTGACAGCAACGCTTTCCGGTGTACCGTGCTCTATATAATAGCAGCCGACTGGTACCAAAATTCCTCCACATCAGTCCTCGAGGAAGACGAGAGCAGCAGCGGAACCGGCGACGATTTTTCCCCAATTAGGATTCTAGGGTTTCGAGCGACCATGGAGAGCGCCTTCGCGAACGCCTCTGCGATCTGCGACCAGAGGCAAAAGATCGAGCAGTACAAGCACATTCTATCCTCCGTCATCTCTTCCAACGACGTAGCCCAGGCCAAGAAGTTCATCGACCATAGTAACTTCCTCAATTTTTTCTTCTTCCTTCGATTCTAGGGTTTGCTTTTCGGTTTCTGTAATTTGAATTTTCTGGCGCTTTGTTTTGCCCTAAAATGGTTCGTGAACGCCTCTCTCTCCGACTTCGCAGTGCTATCCGATGATGTGCCTCTTGTGGTTTCGCGGCAGCTTCTGCAGACCTTTGCGCAGGAATTGGGGAGGTTGCAGCCGGAGACTCAGAAGGAGATTGCTCATTATATTCTCGCGCAGATTCAGCCACGGGTCGTCTCGTTTGAGGAACAGGTTCGATTTTCGCCGTTCTTTTTTTTTTTTTTCTTTTTTTTCCACTTTGGAATTCGTTGGTTTTGGACTTTTTGTTTTCGCTTCAATTTCTTTCTAGAGTGGTAATTCACATAGCACATTGTTTTGCTGGTGAGGGATCTGATCACGAGTGGCCATTGATGTTGGTAGGGTTTGATTTAGTCATTTGGGAGGGACTGAGGTTATGGGTTTTTGTTATTTGGTTAAGCGAAATTGGTTCTTTTTTTTTTTTTTTCTTTCTGTGCTCTCGGTTAAAGAAACTGTTGAATTTCCTTTGAGTTGCAGGTGCTTATTATACGGGAGAAACTTGCGGACTTGTACGAGTCTGAACAGCAGTGGTCAAAAGCAGCGCAAATGCTCAGTGGCATTGACCTAGATTCTGGAATGAGGTCTGAGAGTAAGATCCTATTTTATATTATTTTCCCTCATGAGAATGGGTATTTTACAAGTTTTTGAGAAGACGCTTGTACTAGTTATTTGTATTTCTTTACATATTTCCATCAGGGTCATTGACGATACGTTCCGGTTGTCAAAATGTGTCCAAATTGCTCGCCTATATCTTGAGGTACATTGAATTTTAGTGTCTATGTAATTCATTTATTGAGAAGATTTGGTGGCAGTCAACATTTGCTAATTCTTGATGTGAGTTCCACGTGATTAACTAACTGGAAATATTATGGATGTCTCTTCACTTGGAGGGTTTTTGGAGAGTATTTTTCTGCTGCTACTTGCACTGTGTTGTGTGGTGGCACTTCAACTTATGCTTGTGGTATCAGTTTCAGATGTTAATAGCTGTAATTGCCTTTTTTTAGTAACCAAAAAAAAAAATAAATAAATAAAAACTAATCAAAGTAATTGCCTTTGTGCATCTTTTGCATGGGAGTCCTGTAGCACTGACGCTAAATCATAAAGCTTCTACAGTTTTTGCTAGACGTTAAGACTCTGCTATTGACATTTATGCTTTTATGAAATGCAGGATGACGATGCTGTTAATGCAGAGGCTTTTATTAATAAAGCATCATTTTTGGTTAGCAATAGTCAGCATGAAGTACTGAATTTGCAATATAAGGTGCATTGATAGTCAGTGAGGACAGTTTTATTTTGTATGCAAGTAATTTTTCTAATTGTGTTTACCGTTTTTCCCCTTCTTGTCAGGTATGCTATGCAAGGATTTTAGATTTAAAGAGGAAGTTCTTGGAGGCAGCATTACGTTATTATGACATTTCTCAAATTGAGAAGAGGAAAATTGGTGACGAGTATGTAAATTTGAAATTTTTAACTCCAAGCGTGTAACAATATTAGGTTGTCTTGTGCCGGCTACATTGTTGCTTACAACGAATCTTTTATTTGTAACTGTTAAATGTCTCATTTTTTGGGGACTGTTTTTAGTGAATGTGAATCAATAAGCTTTTGGCCTAATTCAGGGTAATAGGTGACATATCTTTTTATTTCAGAGAGATCGATGAAGAAGCATTGGAGCAAGCTCTGTCTGCTGCTGTGACATGCACAATTCTGGCTGCTGCAGGACCTCAGCGTTCTCGTGTTCTTGCTACTTTATACAAAGTAAGCACCCTCCCATGAATCATGATGAAAATATACATCTAACTATTCAATCTATTATTTGGTCCTTCTTTCCGTATATTGCTAATATTTCGGACACTTTGTTTAGGATGAACGGTGCTCGAAGTTGAAGATTTATCCAATCCTTCAAAAGGTGCTCTTATTTTGTCGCTTTTGGTGTTATACAGTTTTATTCTTACTCTGTCTCTCTTTTGATGCTCCTTTCTTTGTTGTACTATTGGGATGCTAGGTGTATCTGGAGAGAATTTTGAGAAAACCAGAAATTGATGCATTTGCAGAAGAACTAAAGGCACATCAGGTTAAAGACAATTTCTCCCTTTTCTTTTGGATGTTATATATGCGGTAGTCACGTAAGGTTTTGAAGGACCTTATCCATGCCTCACCATTTGCTTACTTTTGACAGAAAGCACTTTTACCTGACAATTTTACTGTGCTTGATCGTGCTATGATTGAGCATAATCTGCTGAGTGCCAGCAAACTTTACACAAATATAAGGTAGGAGATATGCTGTTGTCAATTGTTCTGTTTTTCTTGTTTCTTGGCCCTACAATATATAATGCTGTTGTTTGTTCTAGTCCAATTAGTATATGCTGGTGCCTGGTGGAACCATTTACATATTAAGTTGTGACATTTATTTGTTTAAATCTCGTAGCTTTGATGAGTTGGGCACATTGCTGGGCATTGAACCTCATAAGGTACAGCCTTTTCTTTTCTGCTACTGTAGATTATTCCCATGCTCTTTTCCTCACTCGTCTAGTTTTTATTCTCCCACTATTTGATTAACAAAGGAGGTTTTTAATTTTTTGGTATCCCTTGCTTTTAATTTAAGCACAAGGATAAGTTCCAAAAAAAAAAAATGATAGTAATGATAATAAAATATCTGAATATGCAAATTAGTTGCCGTTTTCAGATCAAACAATAGAATGTATGTAATAAACTTTAGAACGACTGCAATCTTATTCGTTTGACTACTTTCTATCACTGCCTTTTTTATTCACCAGGGCAAGCTAAGATGGAGCTTCTGTCATTAAAATTCTCTTAGAAATAGTTGAGGTGGCTTGGTTAGAATATATCTTTATTTAAATTAGTTGCCGTTTTCAGATCAAACAATAGAATGTATGTAATAAACTTTAGAACGACTGCAATCTTATTCGTTTGACTACTTTCTATCACTGCCCTTTTTATTCACCAGGGCAAGCTAAGATGGAGCTTATGTTATTAAAATTCTCTTAGAAATAGTTGAGGTGGTTTGGTTAGAATATATCTTTATTTAAATTTTTATTCTTTTTTGATTCATCGTGGGGTGTTTTTTTTTTTTTTTTTTGGTCCTTAACACGTTTCATTTTTAAACATCTGAACCTCATTTGTACCTTTTTTTTTGGCTTCACCTGGAATACTTTAGCTCTGCTGAGCATTGAGAAGTTATCCAGGATATGGGAGTTATAGTCATTAATTTCCCCCCCTCTTTTTTTTTTTTTTTTTTTCTCTGGTTTACGTCTTTGGTTCCTCTCTCTGGGAAAGTATGCTTTACCCTTTCTTAAAGAGAGCTATAATTATTGACTTGCAGGCTGAAAAGATAGCGTCAAGAATGATTTATGAGGATAGAATGAGGGGATCTATTGATCAGGTATTAATTAATTGTGCAGCGTAACATAGAGTGATTGAAGTCTCCCCCTTTTTTTTTTTTTTGGATTGGAGAACAGATTGAAGCCTTTTAGGTTTGTTTCAGGGAATAAAGTGATGCGTCCTTTAGCTCCATTTGGTCTTTTTCTAAAATAAAAATAAAAACAAAAATATAATTTCCATGATATCGATATTCCTTTGAGATATATATTGGGAATTATTAGAAAATTGAAACACATTTCTAACTAAGAATGCCCTGCACCTTCCATACCGGTTTGTAGTTTTGATTGTCTAGTGGATGTACTGTGTCTAGTCTCAGAAAACAAATTGTTGGTTTTCTATTTTATTACAACATAAAGCACTTATCTAAGAGGTTGTTGTCAGGTGGAAGCTGTCATACATTTTGAAGATGACACTGAAGAATTGCAGCGATGGGATCAACAGGTAATTAATTGTCTTTATTGCCATCGCAAATTCAATAGCCACAGGATTTGCCAACTTCTTAAGGAGTTCAACCTCACAATTAGCACAACCAACATTATTTATTTAAATTATCTCATCATTTTCACTTTGACCGCTTTGACAAGTGTCTTTTACTTCCATTTTCCAGATTGTTGGCTTGTGTCAATCTCTCAACGATGTCTTGGATAGCATGGCAAAGAAGGGGTTGTCAATCCCTGTTTGAGTTCCATTGATAGTGAGGTTTAGAACTGGATCCCGATTGTTTCTGCATATGCTTAAAAGCTACCGGTCCAGCTGTTTTTTAAATTGTAAGGATTTTAGTTTCATGAGTAGTTCCT